GTTCTAATGAAGTGCTGGTTGCATTTTGAACATGACTTCTTAAATCCAGCAATAAAGAACTTTGACCAAAGGATTAAATGAACCAGAGTGTGACAGGGTGCAGAAACGAGGATGTCTTGAAATCCAAGCAAAGCCACTATGTAACAATTTCCACGTATAGGAGTGTAAAACAGCCAATGATGTTTGTGTGGTTGCATTCTTAAAAGGGGGGAGAAGGAAAGTATCTCGTTGATGACTCGTGCTTTGATTGCTGACAGCCAGTTTAATCTTTTTGTTACCGTTGTGATGGAAGCTCACTGCTGCTGAAGGAGCGGTGAATCCCACCACTGCGTGCCCAGTGTTACTTGACAGCACTGCATCCAAAGCCAGTGCAGACGTCATCCCAAGCCTGACTGGTCGAAACTTTAGGAAGTCCTTCCCACCACAGACCAAGAAGACCAACAAAAGAGGTGAGCAAAGTTTGTACATATCTTCTGACAGGTGGTGTATTTGGTTGACAGACCATAATAATAAACAGGTCAAACCTATTTATGTGTAAGCCAAGCTGCTCTCATTCAGCTTTGATTAATGCAGCACATTTGCAGAGCGGCAGTTCTTGGGGACTGGAGTGCATAATTATGTGTGCAATTTTTAGTGTGCATGAATTTATCATTGCTCTTTGAGGTGTTGTCACAGCTTTTTCACCAGCATGTCTTCAGACTGATTTATAACCATGTGTTCCTTCTTTGCTTCTTCCACAGTGTGTTTCTGGAAGTATTGCTCTCAGAAATGACAGCTTTCCAGCCGCGGCTCACTTTTGTGTCTCATCTTCTTCCTTTCGCTCATCTCCCCTTCCATCTACCCAAGCATGCGTCTCCATTTTTTATTCAGCCTCCATCCTCTTCTGTATCTCCTGCCTGACTTTTGAGTGCTAAGAAACTGTGGCTATGACAACAGAAAGATCTTCGTGCCGAACCAGGCCGGCGCCAGCCTTGGACCTTTTCATTCATGCATCAACTAACAAGACAGACCAGTCAAAACAAACCTTGTGCACCCTTGGTCAAGACACACACACTTGTTAACCCTTACGCTCCTTTATAAGACAGACACGCGTCAGTTTTTCAATGTGTGTGCCATATTTTAAATAAAGTTTATCATTTGCATAGCAAATACTGACTGTGACGACAAAGGCTGCCATTTTATTTCCTACAGTCAGAGATCTGAAACAGTAACTTCACTTTGTGGTTTTTCTTTGATTACACAGTTTGTATTTAAAGGATTTTGTAACACTGGTTGTTGAGCTGAAATCATATACAGTACTTTATTTAGATACAGCTTCAGCAGCAGTATGTTGCAATCTGACACTAAATCATCATCAGAGTTAATAGTATTTGATGAGTGACACCAGCTAGCCTCAGTAGTCAAACCAGCCTATGTCCAGACCAGCAGTGAATTCTTCAACCGGGCGTTTCTGGGGAAACTGGACTGTGAGTATTTGGTGTCCGGGTATGTAAATTCTGGGTCACTTCATTCAAAGGGTTTCTGCAGAAGTCAGCGTCATTGTCATCCAGCTGTGATTATATACAAGTCTCTGTGTTAAATGTGCTTGACCTTGCAATCACAATCATTTTGTCTATTTTTATTTACCACAATGATTCAAGCATACACTGTTTTGGAAAGTCAAAAGTCTAGCACAGGACCAAGAGCAGGCTATTATATCAAACATCACACCACTGTTTGAGCACATGATGGACATGGACAGTGGTTAGGTTGTGGACTGTAGCAGTGATGTAGCAGGAAAATATCTAAAAATAGTCTATCCTCGCATGGCAATAATTTGTGCATCCAGCCTTTACACTGCTGCCTTCTTGTGGCCACAGTTAGCTACAGTCTGCTGCCCTTGCTTAAATTTCATAAGGGAATGCAACCCTTGCTGTTTTGAAGGTGTGTCAGTCAATTACTTTAGTGGGCAAGATGAGAGGCCAGGAGGTTTTTCTGATGGTTTGTGCGTACGCATTGTGGATAAACCACTGGCCTTTGACTATAAACTGATTAGAGACCAGCATGTGGCACAAGCTACCACTGACTGACCTTTCACTGTTCTGAGATCACTTACTATCTGCGCTTCATATACAGCTAGCATTAGCAAGTAAAAGAGCCTCAGTGGTTTGTCAGCGTAATACGAGTCTCCTCTTTGTACCTACTTTGGCTAACATGTGGGATGAAGAGAAGATGGAGAATAAAAAAGCCGTTAATAAATTTTAGTACATTAACAAGGAAAGCTCTGATTACGATAGAGAGGGGATGGCAGCTCTAATCATATCTGATCTAATAAAATGCAGACTCAGCAGTACTTATTAACATCTATGAGATTATCTGAATGTACTGTCTTTAACCAGCAGCTCCAAATTCATTTTCATTCATATTTTTAATCCCCTGTAGATATTTACAGTTAAAGCGTTTGCTCAAGCCTTTAATTCAGCTGATTTTTTTAATTATTAACTTACTTAATGTGCTTTAAAAAATCTAAATGAAGGCCTGTATTTCTGAGCTCACTAGTTTTTCAGAGATAAGTGGTCCTCACAGGACTACAAACGTGATTTATTTTATGAACCATGTTGCTGGGCACTAAACTGTATATATGCAGTGTTGGGGAGTAACGGAGTACACGTACCGCCGTTACGCATTTAAAATACAAAATATGAGTAACTATTCCGTTACAGTTACCGTTTAAAAAGGTGGTATTCAGAATACAGTTACTTTGTTGAAATAAAGGCATTACACGGCAGTCTTTTCCTGTTTCATTAGGCTATGCCCTCTCTATTTTTGGTTTCCACGCCGGTGATACTCCCCCACTGAAGCTAAAAGTGAGTCCGCTGGATCCATCCTGGTCTCGTCGTTCTGTCAGGGCTCTGTGTGCGGGCAGGCGGAGATGAGCATCCAAATGCAGGACTTGGAGACGTAAATGTAACTGAGAACCTCAGTTTTATTGCTGGCACCAAACAAAAAAAGAAACCAAACCATGAAAACACAAACTGGAACACACAGGCAGGATCTGAGGGTACAATGCAACAGAGAGCAGAGGAAAGCACAGGAAAACACAGGGCTTATATACACAGGGCGGTAATCAGGGAATGGGCAACAGGAGGGAGACACAGCTGGGAGAAATTAGACTAACGAGACAGGGGGAGCGAAGCTGGACACACTGACATAAGACACAATCCTTCAAAATAAAACAGGAAACAACACACAAATCACAAAGACGCAGACTTGACACTGAGAGGCAGACAGAAAGAATATAAGACATGGAACTCAAACTATACTAAACATAAGACACAACCGAAGAACTAATCCCTCATCAAGAATAAGACATATATATTTATAATAATAAAGCACCAGAGAATAAGAAAATAATCCATAATGCAAAAATAAACAATGACAACTCAAAATGCTGCGTCAGAACTGACCCAGAACCGTGACATCCCACCGTTCATCTGACTCCTCAGGACTTGCCTGACCCTCTGCAGCTTGCAGCTTTCCCAGCAGTCTCTTCATGGTTTCTATTTGCCTGTTGTTCCCAAGTTCCTGTCTTGGATTTCCTCGAGCTGTCCTTTGTTGTTATCCGACTACATTTCTCTAGTCCGAATAGCATTCCAGTGTTATTACTGTAGATCTTGGTGGTGTAGGTCAGTGCACTGATGTCTTGTTCACTCTTGGCATACAGTTTGATGTCATAAAATAAAATTATTTGCGATACTTTCTGGATGTCATAATACAACAAAAATCGACATACTACTAGAAAGATAACTTTAGAGTAACTTTGTGCTGAACATTGGGGGGTTAGGGGTTAGGAGGGTAGGGGGTCTCTGGATCTCTGTTTAAATAAATAAATAAATCTGGGTAAATTCCCAGATGGGAATATTTTGCTGGTAATACCTGAAACGAATAAAGAAAAGCAACAGCCTATTTATGCAAGAA